GTCAGTCTGGCTATTTTACGTAAACGGGATGATCAAACCGCCATCTATCGGCCATAAAATCCTTCGCAGTATAACAACTTAAGCCCTGCCATAAAAAATTGTGGTACTTCTTTTTTTTTATAGGATCGGGTGACAAACGAGCACACAGTCCACCTAATGGTAAGTGGTTACTGTGACCCATAGACATCTACATCTATCCTCAATAAAGACTCAAGATGCAGATGCGTTGTCACCCGTGAGGACTAAGATGGAATGCCTCTTTGCCAGTAAAAAGAGTCTCCGGTTCTCTACACTCACCATACGAAACACAGCAGCGTTAAGCTGCTATTTTACGCTGGTTTTCTGTCTTCCCAGGAGATAGATACACCAAGATTATTTTATAATAGTTCTGTCTTGCTTAATTCGACAGCAAAATCCGTTTAAACTGTAAAAGCGTAAATAGCGACATAAACATATAAAACTAATTAAAAATATGCTCAACGGTGCAATATTTCTCATTATCCGAGCACATAAATTAACAATGGCGTTCCACTTAGAAAAATAAATCAATCGCAATTAACTATTAATTCGTTACCGTCACCGTTACAGCCTATTAAAATTAAAGTCCACTGCTGTACATAGGCCTCCCCCATAGAATGCCTCATAGAGGGGATATTTGCCATAGTTGCCACGCTTGGCAGGTGGGTTGGAAACCGCAGTTTATTTTTATTTTTAGCCATTATTATCACTAAGACGCTACTGCCCGTCTCCTGGTTTATTACCATGTAGTGGCGGTGTAAGAATATCCATTGCCCAGTATCATCCCGTGGAAGACACAAGAGGCGACAAGAGGCGACAGAGGGAAAATATTAAAGATTTTATTCTGATTCATTTCCTCCATCATCTATCAATCTTTCTTCAATAATTGTCACTTCTTATAATCTACACAAATAAATAAAATTGAAGTGTCTGGTTGCAATGTCAAAGTTACAGCATTTTACTAAATGCTTATGAAAGTATACAACGGTACTTATAAAACAAAAACAATTTTTAAAATGTATGTCTGTCAGTCTGTCTGTTTGTTCCGGCTAATCTCCGAAATAACTTAACCGATTTTGACGGTTCTTTTACCAGCAGATAGCTGATGTTATAAGGAGTAACTTTTATTTAAGACAAGTGGTAAAGTTAAAAAATTTTAACAACCGTAATTAATGTAAATAAAATGAGAACATCATCATCAATGTCATCGTAGTTAATGAAATACGCATTATTAAGGATAACTCAAAAATTACTCGTCAGATCTCGATCACATGAGAAGCACCACCTTTCAAATAAAAAGTGAAACATCAAAATCGGTTCAACTAGAAAAAAGTTCTGAGGTAGGTAACACATAACAAAAGTACAGTCAGAGAACCTCGTCCTTTTTTTGAAGTCGGTTATAAAGAATTAGGGTACCGTGAAAAAAGTTATAACCCATGAAATCTAAATGTAATAAATTCCACACGGACTAAGTCACGGGGAACAGCAAGTATCTAAAACTGATCGCACAGTGAAACCATATTATACCTTCATAAAATGGGTCACGTGTATACTGAAACTAGACCATGTTGTTTGTGAATCCCTTGACGCATATGCCACAGGTAAGACATTAATTGGGATTAATTGGGTCTTCTTATTAATTAATTGCTTCCTTTATTTACTACGTTGTTCTTCAACGTTGTAGTAACAAAATATTGACTGCGTCGTTGGGCGTAAATTGTACTACAGTAGTCTACTGATCATGAGGTCCCGGGTTGGTTCTCGGGTCGGACTAAAGTCAGTTATTGGGTTTTTCTGTTACGAAATTGTCAGCCTCCTGCTGACAACTCGGTGTTAGAAAGTTGAGGGTGTTTCACTCCCATCCTCGGAAACTGCGTAAAGCTAATGATGATGAAATGCTAATGGCCGTGCACCTGATCTCTAGCCGGTCATGTCAGATTACCGACTCATCGGACTAAGGAGGAGATAGAGAGTGCACCTGTGCTTGCTTGCGAATATACTGTTGCATTATAATGTTTTTCAGATGGCTAGCCACCGTTGAAAGAGAACGTAGTGATCGAAACACGATATGAAGAACATTATTATTATTATTAGGATATTTTTGTAGGTTTGTAGCATTCTCGTCTGGTTGGAATACAGGGGCGAAAATTCCGTCAAACTGGATCTCATTACTGGGAAAATTCGTTTCCTCCTTATAATCACGCACAAAGCAATAAACTTTACTTGTCCGCGTAAAATGGTTAATAATTTCGACACAGAGCTCATTTTCTCAACAGCCTAATAGTTAAAGCGTAGGGCTACGCCGGAATGCGCAAGTGGTCTATCCATATTATGGTCAGGATTTTTTATTTTTTGTTCTTTAGTACTCTATCCCATACAGCCCCACAGCTGGGAAAAACTGATAAAGCCGTGGTAGCTCAGAAGAGCCGTAATAGCTCAGAAGAGCCGTGGTAGCTCAGAAGAGCCGTGGTAGCTCAGAAGAGCCGTGGTAGCTCAGAAGAACCGTGGTAGCTCAGAAGAGCCGTGGTAGCTCAGAAGAGCCGTGGTAGCTCAGAAGAGCCGTGGTAGCTCAGAAGAGCCGTGGTAGCTCAGAAGTGCCGTGGTAGCTCAGAAGAGCCGTGGTAGCTCAGAAGAGCCGTAGTAGCTCAGAAGGGCCGTGGTAGCTCAGAAGGGCCGTGGTAGCTCAGAAGGGCCGTGGTAGCTCAGAAGAGCCGTGGAGCTCAGAAGAGCCGTGGTAGCTCAGAAGAGCCGTGGTAGCTCAGAAGAGCCGTGGAGCTCGGAAGAGCCGTGGTAGCTCAGAAGAGCCGTAATAGCTCAGAAGAGCCGTGGTAGCTCAGAAGAGCCGTGGTAGATCAGAAGGTCCGTGGTAGCTCAGGAGAGCCGTAATAGCTCAGAAGAGCCGTGGTAGCTCAGAAGAGCCGTGGTAGATCAGAAGGTCCGTGGTAGCTCAGGAGAGCCGTAATAGCTCAGAAGAGCCGTGGTAGCTTAGATGGTTAGCGCTCGCTGTAGGTTTCACAGTACGCGAGCAACCCGGGATCAATCCCCGCCGGCACCAATGAAATCGTTATTTGTAATTTTAAGTGCTAATTTACCACGTGCTCTGCGGTGAAGGAAAACATCGTCAGGAAACCTGCACGTCTGAGAAATAAGAAATAAAGTATTTCGAAGACGTGTGAAGTTCGCCAACACGCATTGGGTCAGCGCGGCGGACATTTCGTTGCCCTAAAATCCTCAGAAATGAGAGGAGGCCTGTGCCCAGCAGTGGGACGTATATGCCTATATACGTACCACTACTGGCACTGCTGCACGTAACTTACTTAACTTATATATTTGTATATGTAACTAGTATATCAGAAATGGTTTTAAGGATTTGGATCAAATAGTGTACTTAGGTTATTTTTCACTTTAAAAAATATTGTTTTAAAGCCGAGCTCGGTCAAGTGTTCGCGGTAGCAGAAACGATTACAGGAATACGTAATGTGGGGTCACGGTCACCTCGTGAGCCAGGTCCAGATATTTTGTACGCTTATTTATTTCTGAATTTTACGAGGTTCTCGTCTTATGGAATTATAAATTCCACCAAAAATATCCTTGACTGTACCCGGTTAACGCCAGACAGAATAAAGGTGTATAATTAACATATTTATCTCAAAGGGTAACACGATTTTTTTAATTTCTTTTGACACTATCGCTGCTCAGGTAGCACGGTTTAAAGAGCTTGATGACAATTGTATGGTCATTAGTGTGTATGGCCCGTATGTAAGGTTGTTTATTCAGGTGTTGGGACTATAAACTTATGTTTACAATCATACTATTATATTTGACAATAACAAGCCGTTTTATCTTTGTTACCTCGTATCTCTTTGGATTTATTTACTATTTAAGATTCAGAGGCGAGAATATATCATCCAATTTTCGTCACGTTATTTGTAAAAACATTGGGCAATTATGCCAGAAAATTCCCACATGATCTCACAGATGAAAATGTTATCTAAAAGACTTACCAGCAACACGACTCCGACATTATTGTTGCGAAATCTTTAACAAAAAAGTCCAGTCCGTCAGTAACATAACTTCACTTGCAACATGAATCGGCTCAACCAAGGAGGGGTTTTGCTCTCATAGAATACTATAGATATTTAGCAGCATAACCTGTGCGTTTTATGGTGGCTGTAGAGAACCGATGACTTTTTATCACTGGTAGTTATTCCATCTTCGTCCTCAAGAGTGACAACGCATCTGCGTTATGGTATTCTTAAAGGAGCCAAGGGATCCACATGGCCTCAGGTGGACTGTGTGATCGTATATCACCGTTTTTCTATTAATAAAACGTAGCTTTTGTCGCATTCACTTCGATACGAAAGAAACGGATTTACCAACGATGGATTTTAAAAAAAAAATAACGATTTCTAGGTGTTTAAAATATCACAACGAATATTTGATTTGTTTTTGATTTCGATGGAGCAATCTTAGTCGCATATGTGATAAATAGTAACCATAATATACTTAAACCTGGAGTTACAATCAATATAATGCTAATAATATTATTAACAGTGGTAGAGCCAGGCGGCAGCTTTTGCTGTCGCATGGATGGGCCGGCTCAAACCGGGGTAGTACCACGACCTCACAGAATACCAGCGTGAAGTAGAGGGTTACCTCTGCGTTTCGCTTGGTGAGTGCAGGTGGCCGGAGGCCCTTTTTACTGGAAATGAGGCATTCCATCCTAGTCCTCACGGGTGAAAACGCATCTGCATGTTGATGTGTAACAGAGGATAGAAGTAGATGTCTATGGGCCGCAGCAACCACTTACCATCAGATGCACTGTGTGCTCGTTTTTCACCCCTATCCTATAAAAAAAATGCATATTTCAATTAAAGCAACTGCTTCTTAATGGAGATCGACGGAAAGACATCAAAACCAACAAAATTGTTAAGAGCTCAGCATTAAGGCGCTAACATACTATAGTAATCAATGAGGCCGACCTTCCTAGAGAGTGTGGCGTTGTGGAGTTCGTCCAGCGTGGGACGCGGCGCAGCGTGTAGAGACAGTACGTTTCTGTAGTTGTCCAGGCGCGGCAACGCTTCCCGGGTGAAGTGCCTGCAACAAAATGCATTAAAAAACATATCAAGAATTTTTTTTAAGATCTAGGTGGTAGGACTTCTTTTCTGCCTCACAATCCTTCTGGATACCATCCTCTTACCTTCTTCGACTGTCAAATAGCAGTGCTTGCATTAACGTGTTCGAGTGTGAAGGGTATAGGGAGCCAGCATGATTAAAGGATGTGAGGCATTCCAACTTAGTCTTCGGGAGTGACAAGGCATCTGTAACCTTCTATATATGAAGTTGGCTGCACGTGTTCAAGCCACTTATCTCTCTCTCCGTCATCCACCGTACTCACAAGATCTTGCGCCTACAAACTTCTACTATTTTCAGAATTTGGATAACTTTATTGCGGGAAAAAATTCAATAACCGAGTGGCAGTACACGTTGCCTTTTTTTTTTTTTTTTTTTTGAAGAAATTTGTTGCCTCCCGTCCATCTGACTTCTCCAAGAAGGGCATCAATAAACTGCCACTGCGTTGGCAAAGATGCATCGAATGCATGGTTGATTACGGTTTTGATTAATAGAAATAAAAAATATAGATAAAAAATTACGTTAACTTATTTCATGAAAAACCGCAATTTCATAGGTAAAGACCTAATACTTTTAAAATAAGGGTGACAAACGAGTCCACTTGCTGATAAATGGATACTGTAGCCCATAGAGATCTACATAAGAATAAAATGCAGATGCGTTGTCACACCTGAGGACTAAGGTGGAAGAATGCTTCATTTCCAGAAAAAGCGCCTTTTTTTATAGGATAGGGTGACAAACGAGCACACAGTCCACCTGATGGTAAGTGGTTACTGTGACCCATAGACATCTACATCTATCCTCAATTAAGAATCAAAATGCAGATGCGTTGTCACCCGTGAGGACTAAGATGGAATGCCTCTTTGCCAGTAAAAAGGATGTCCGGTTCTCTACACTCACCATACGCAATACAGCAGCATTAAGCTACTATTTCACGCTGGTAATCTGTGAGACGCTCAAGGTCTCTATGTTTGGGGTTGCTTTGCGTGATACTTAGGAATGAGGATATCCGCAGTAGCACCAGAGTAACCGACATAGCCCAACGGATTAATAAACTGATGTGGCAATGGGCCGGACATATAGCTCGAAGAACCGACAACCGATGGGGAAAAAATTTTCTCCAGTGGCAGCCTCGTACCGGTGTGACGACCTTGCAAGACATGCAGAAAGTCGATGGATGCAGGTAGCTCAGGACACAGTGCTTTGTGGCATAACTTGGGGCGGCCTATGTTCAGCAGTGGACTTGTGAAAGGTTGTAATGATGTTGATGATGAATCTGTGAGTGTGGGCCTGCCGCGGTCGAGCTGACCCATGTTTTGACCATGTTGACCCCCAAAGTGTCACTGGCTAAATTTAATTGTTATAATAAGAATACAAAGCTCGCTTATTCCAATTTTAAGTCAATTTATTATTTTTATTAGATCACCGCAGTCCTGCAGTATTTTTTTTTTATAATAATTTACATATTTATAAAACGAACTAAAATTAAGAAATTCGTTAAGAAAGATAATAATAAGAGCCTTAAAGAAGATGAAGTACATCTTATATATATACACGAATTTGGCTTTAAGATTTTTCTATTATCAGCATATAATAGCCCATCAAAAGCCTACATAACATAACCCTCGCCCTTCCCCATTGATTGCGTCATTGCAACTATCCACTATATTTATCAACCATAGTTGTCATGCCGGGCAGGTGGGTTGTCAACCGCAGTTTGTTTTTTTATTATTGAGTCGTCATCAGGAAAATGCCGCTGCCCTCCATCTTCTATTTAATTTCCCTTGAGCAGTTAATATAGTAATAACAAGTTGTCGTAGGTTATTATTCGCAAAAAAAAAAAAACATTATTATCCACATTAAAGAAAGGAAAAATTTGGGATGTGCAAGCTGGATTTAGAAAGGGGATGGGGTGTACGGATCAAGTCTTTTCCATGGGCATGATAGCAGAGAAGTTTTTGGCCAAAAACCAGAAAGTTTTTTGTGCGTTCATGGACTTGGAAAAGGCTTATGACAGAGTGGACAGGAATGTGTTATGGCAAACACTGAACTCATTTGGGTTGAGCGCTGGCTTGATACAGGCATTAAGGTCTCTTTATAGGGACTCTAGTGCTTGTGTCAGGATCAACGGGGTCTACTCGGACTGGTTTGGCATTCATAAAGGTGTCAGACAGGGATGTGTGGCTTCCCCGTGGCTGTTTAACCTATTTATGGACAGTTGTTTGCAAACTTTGAAAGTTGAAGAATGTGGGTTGAGAGTGGGTGAGTCAACCGTCAAATGCCTTTTGTACGCCGATGATCAAGTCATATTTGCATCGTCGGCGGCCGAGTTGCAAATGATGGTTACTTTAATGAATTGGTCATTGAAAGAAAGGGGTATGAAAGTGAACGCAAGTAAGACGAAAGTGATGGTTTTTGAAAGAGAAGAAAGTAAAACTTTATGTGAAATAAGAATAGAAGGGGAGTTGATTGAGCAAGTGGATGAGTTTGTATATATGCGATGTTTATTTAGCAGGGATGGTAGATATGATAAGGATATAGAACGACGAGTGAACGCAGGAAATAGAGTGAATGGGGCTCTACACGCTATTGTGAGGAGTCAGAATGTGTCAACTAAGGCACGTATGGCAATTCATAATGCTGTGTTAGTCCCTACTTTAATGTATGGTAGTGAAAGTTGGGTCTGGCAGAAGAAACATGAGAGTAGAATAAATGCTGTAGAAATGCGTTCCTTAAGGAGTATGCTAGGGCTGAATCTGAATGACAGGGTGAGAAATAGTGTGATAAGAGAAAAGTGTGGTTTGCAAGATGACGTTGTGACAAGGATTAAGAAAGGAATGCTTCGGTGGTTTGGTCATGTAGAAAGAATGAACGAGGAAAGAGTGACAAAGCAAATTTATGTTGCAGAAGTGAACGGCAGGGTCGGGAAGGGACGCCCTAGACGAAGGTTTATCGACCAAATCGGCGATACATTAAAAATGGGCCAGATTAGGAGTACCTTTAACCGACGAGCGTGTATGGGTAGATATATGGATGTAAAAGAGGCGAGAGAGGTGTGTCAGGATCGCGCCAAATGGAAGTCCGTAGTCTCTGCCTACCCCTCTGGGTGACAGGCGTGAGTGTTTATGTATTTTATGTGTATTAATGAAAGCAGTAAGTCAGGCTGCGGTATATTTAAAAAAAGACATTTAAGTTAGTATATATAGGTATATATTTTAAATCTCTGATTTAAAACAATAACAAAGCTTTCGAGAAGTTTCCGGGTGAGCGTTAGGTAACGCGACAAAACAACAAAAGCGAGAGAAATTACAAGACGATAACAAACTCGTCAAGTGATAAGAAAGGAATGTTACTTAGTTTCTAAAAACACAGCCATGTTTGAAAATGCAATATTAAATAAAGCTACTTTTAAGGATTCTATCGCGTTTAATTAACTTGTTTTTTATTGCTTCCCGACCCGATTGGGGGACTGTCCCCCGTGACCATGGGTGCTGTAAAGCACCCGAAACGTCGGGAATCAACAAAAAACAAGCTAATTAAACGCAATAGAATCCGTAAAAGTAGTTTTATTCAATGTGTAGTGTTCGCGTAAATATAAGAAATCATAATGCTATATTAAATAATAGCTCATTACGAAATTAGCGTGTAAAGTGGAACGAAATTTTTACACTACACTCGAAACTTCGTGAATGCCTGCCTAATTTAGGAGTAGCTTGTTGTAAATTTCATAGTACGCGGGCAACCCGGGTTCGATACCCGCCGGTACCAATGAAATTGTTAATTGCAATTTTAAGTGCAGATTTACCACGCGCTCGGCGGCGATGAAAACATCGGAAGGAAACCTTTTATGTCCTTGAAATAACAAAAATATTTTGAGGCCAAGGGAAGTCCAACACGCACTGAAACAGTGCAGCGAACTAATTGCTCCATGTGCAGAGATCGATGCCCGCGTAAAACGGTGATTGCTAGAGAAACTGAAATAAAAACATATTTCGAAGACAAAGTCTCACAATTTATAACACACCTTCGTTTTATTGTAGAAAATGTTCAATAAGAATTTTTCTTTTTTAATTTTTAACTTAAATATTGCTCCATTGCTACTTAACTACAAAATTGTCAAAAAATAACCTGCCAAGTGCGAGTCGGACTCGCGCATGAAGGGTTCCGTACCATCGTAATAATATACGTTTCTAGTAGGGGAGCGCCTTTTAATTTTTAATTTATTTTAATTTTTATTATGTTGCTATATCGGCAACAGAAATACACATTCTGTGAAAATCAATAACCTCTCTAAAAAAACTGTCTACCTATTACGGATCATGAGAGACAGGCGGGCGAACAGACGGACGAACGAACGGACCAGACAGACGAACGAACGGAGGGACGAACTGACGGACAGCGGACGCTTAGTAATAGGGTCCCGTTGGTTATCCTTTCGGTACGGAACCCTAAAAACATATTTCGAGGACAAATAAAGTCTGACAATTTATAACACATGTTCGTTTTATTATAGAAAATATTCAATAAGTTTTTTTTTAGTCTTTCCAGATTTTCACTTATCAACTTAAATCCTAAGTGAAGCTAAATGGCCGTAACGATTTTATTTTTGGCGATTATGGAGAATCCACTCACTCATTCATTCATTACAGCCTATCAAAGAACTCCGCTGAACGTTGCCACGTTTTTTTTTTTAAATTTTTAGTCGTTATGAAGAACACGCTGCTGCACATCACCTGATTTGTTTCCTCTGTTGCCTCTTACGAAACCCACGGAATGATATGGGGTTACACGGTTAATTAAAGAGAATATATAAATTTCAATCAAGAGTTACAAATAGAATTTCGGTAAAATTACTTCGCACTCAAAGAAGAGAAAGGTTTTTTTTGTTTTTTATAGGATAGGGTGACAAACGAGCACACAATCCACCTGATGGTAAGTGGTTGCTATGACCCATAGATATCCACAGAATCAAAATGCAGATGCGTTGTCACCCCTGAGGACTAAGATGGAATGCCTCTTTTCCAGTAAAAAGGGTCTCCGGTTGTCTACACTCACCATCGTCAAGCTGCTATTTTCGCTGGTATTCTGTGAGAGCGTGGTCCTTCCCCGGTCAAGCCGACCCATTCGTGCTACAACTATACTACTAATATAGCTGTAGCATGGCTCTACCACGTAAAACACTATATTCGAGTGACAGACTCGTACCGGCAAGCTAAGTGTGTGGCAGCTCTCCGCTAGAATGACGACCTGGTAAGATATGCGATAAATCGATAGAGTGGCTCAGGACCGTGTTTTGCAGCATTTCTTAGATGATGACGACTCAATTAAAGGCAACTTGAGATGAATAAGTCAGTCTAATTATCTTATATGAAACTAAACTGAATTTACTAGGTTGTGGTTTACTGTATGAACTACGTTAATCTTTATATATAAGAATTACGTGTCACATTATTTGTCCGCGATGAACTCCTAAACTACTGAACTGATTTCAATGAAATGTTTCACAATGTGTACAGTTTGGTCCAACTTGAGAGATAGGATAGTTTTTATCGCGATAAGTGACCCTCAACTTTTTTATTGTTAATTTAATGATTTTTAGGGCACATGGTCGTCGGAAAGGGCAGAACAACGTCTGCCAGGTCACATAGTATTATAATATATTAAAAGATATAAACATCTGCATTTTATTACTTAATCGAGGATAGATACAGTACATGTACGATTGCCACCCTTTACAAACAAATATTTCGATTCTTAATCGGGGAGTATCATATATAGAATAGAATAGAATAGAATAGAATAGAATGATTTTTATTCAATATGGATTATTACATAATACTTATTGAAAGTCATTATTTTATTTATTTACCACTGGTTCGGAAAATACCTCTGTCCTGGGAAGAACCAGCAAGAAACCCAGCGGGACTTTTTTTTTAAACATAATTTCACTTAACAATAATTTTGTTTATACAATTTTAAATGAATTTTCATAGAACCAGCATGGTGGCGATCACCTTATTCCCAGGGGTTATTTTCATTCATGTATTCCTTGATATTATAATAACCCTTTTTGTACAGTTTTTCTTTAATAAAACTTTTAAACTTGTTTATTGACAAACTTTGAACATGTTCTGGGATTCTGTTGTAAAAGCGTATACATTGCCCCATAAATGAATTACTAATTCTGTGGAGTCTTGTAAGTGGCATTACAAGCTTATGTTTGTTCCTAGTGTTTAAGGTATGAACATCCTTATTCTTATTAAAGCTATTTATGTTTTTATGTACATACATTACATTTTCATAAATATATTGCGATGCCAAAGTTAATATGTTTATTTCTTTAAATTTTTCTCTAAGGGACTCTTTACAATTTAGATTATAAATCGCCCATACGGCTCTCTTTTGCAAAACAAATATAGCTTCAATATCAGTCGCATTACCCCATAGCAAAATTCCATAAGACATTACGCTATGAAAGTAACTAAAATACACTAACCTAGCTGTCTCAACATCTGTGAGACTTCTAATCTTTCTTACAGCATATGCTGCAGAACTAAGTCTGCTTGCTAATTTAGATATATGGGGGCCCCATTGAAGTTTCGCGTCAATAGTAATACCGAGAAAAACAGTGGTATCCACAAGACTCAACTCCTCCCCATTTAAGAGCACATTGGTTTTCGAATGTTTTACATTAGGTAGGTATTGTAAATTTAATACATTTTGTCTTATTGCCGTTTAAGAGCAAATTGTTGGCGTTAAACCAATGTACTAGTTTCGATAGAGCATTATTTACATCGTCATATTTAATTGACTGCCGTTTCAGTTTGAAAATTAAAGAGGTATCGTCAGCAAATAATACTATATCGTGATTGTCCCCTACAAGATAAGGTAAGTTATTAATATAGATTAAGAACAGGAATGGGCCAAGAATCGAGCCCTGAGGAACGCCCATTGATACTACCGATCCGGGGGAACATTTACCATTAATGACGACTTTTTGAGTTCTGTTACTTAAATATGAAGTAATAAGTTTAAGCGCCAATATAATATCTAATAAAATATAATAATAATAAGCCAATAAAATATAATATCATATGTGCTACAACATCATATTACAGATTATGTAGACGGCATGTTCATTTGTCACCCTTACTATTGTTAAAAATATATAGAAAAAAAAGTAGCCCGGCTCACCTGAAGCTCTTTCCATATTTGGTATCCTGAACAGTGAGTGGATCATCGCTGTCCATGCCGGAGCCATCGGAGCCATCGGAGTCATCTGATCCATCCTGTTCCGTTTTGTCTTCTTCCATCTGATAACAAAAAAGTACTAAGTAAGGTAAGCGAATCATAAAACTAAAACCAAATCATTTCTATGCAAATTGATATGGCACAGTATGAAGTTCCTCATATCGAATACACACTCCTAAATAGAATGGAAAAATTACAAAAGGTTTTTATGTTCCTTAACTAATTTCCAAAAATTGATAACGAATGATATAATGATGCCTATTGCAGATACAAAATGAAAATACATAGGTTTTAAGAGCCAAATTCATCACATGATTCACCGCTTTGGTGAATTTGGCTTGGCCACGATTTCAGCGTTTGTTTTCAACAATTTCATTCCATTTTCTTTCTTTTTATTTATTTGTTTATAACAACAAAAAAATTTAAAAAATCAAACTTCAAGGCAGAAGTGAATTGAATAGGCTATTGTTAAGCTAAGGCAGTGCGATTTATCATTCATTTGTTCCATCACCGCTTATTAGCAGATCAGATCCCTCCAACTAATTTATTTTAGCCAATCCTAGACACACACTTCTCCAAGAATGTGCCAGCTGGCTAGGATTTCTTGGAAGGCGAGTTGATAGACGCAAGCCCAATAATATCCACCAGACCGAATTTCGGTCACACATCATGGACTCAACAGAGATAAACCTTTCTACGCAAGACTGAATTATATTGCATAAGTGTGTGCGCAAACACAAGCACACTCTCTGTTGCCTCACTCATTGCACACTCACTGTTGCCGCAATCCGACACAACCAAAGAGATATCAGGCGCAGGACCAAAGTCTTTACGTGCTTTCGAAGTGAAACACTGTCAGTTTTATCGCTCCGGGCTGCGACTGAGAATTTCTCGACAGAAAAACCCAATAGATTAATTTAGTCGGATTTGAACCCGGGACCGGAACCGAGACACCAACGAGACAGTCAGCCGCCGACTTTCGACGTACGGTTTTTTTATTTGCGACAAATGTTGTTTTGAGTAGGTTACCGCGTGTTCAATAATTGAACACTGCGATGAGTCATCACGCCACATGTAATAAAAGATGATGAATCTGTGTTTCCGTTTAATGAATATTCTATGTTTGAAATACGGTTTTAAATATTATTATTATATTTTGTAGAAATTTTCAAACGGGTTAATTATTTATTTTTCTTATGAAAAGGATATTTTTCATGATCTTTTTATCAACTTACTTAAATATTATTTATGTGGTAGAGCCATGCTGCAGCTATATTAATAGTATAGTTGTAGCACGAATGGGTCGACTCGACCGGGGAAGGACCACTCTCTCACAGAATACCAGCGTAAAATAGCAGCTTAAAGTTGCTGTGTTTCGTATGGTGAGTGTAGAGAACCGGAGACCCTTTCTACAGGAAAGGCGGCATTCCATTTTAGTCCTCACGGATGACAACGCATTTGCATTTTAATTCGTAATCGAGAATAGATGTAGATGTTTATGGGTCACAGTAACCACTTACCCATCATGTGTGCTCGTTTCTCACACTTATTCTTTTAAAAAAAACTGTTAACGCGTCTATTGCTATTTGCACTATAAGGTCTTAGATATAGGTATATAGGTCTTATAGTATACATAAACTAAGCTATAAGTCTCGTCAGCGTTCTGCGTAGTTTACGAGTAGGAGGTATAAAAATGAGCGTGCGTGCCTAGTCTCTGTTGAGACTGGCCCCACTCACTCAAATTCGGTCCGGAGGACATTATTCCTATCGAAAGTCACCATCCATGTGGCTTAGCCCGTGTGTTAAGATTTCACATGCCTTTTAAAGGTGGTAGGGTCACGCTGCAGTGTATTTTGGCTGAACCACTAATGGGTCTGCTTGACCAGGTAAAGACCGCCCTAGCACAGAATACCAAGCAGAATATAAGAGTAGCAGAACGATGTTATGTTTCCGCTACGTTGTATGTTAGCCGTGGTAGTTCACGAGCTAAGCGCTCGCTGTAAATCACAGTATACGCGAGTAACGTGCCGGCACCAATAAAGTTGTTAATTGCAATTTTAAGTGCTGATTTACCACGTGCTCAGCGGTGAAGGAAAAAATCGTGAGGAAACCTGCATGTCCGAGAAATAAGAAAAAAAATATAATTCCGAAGACATGTGATATTCGCCAACATGCATTGTGGTAGCGCAGCGGACACTTCCTTGCCCTAAAACCCTCTCAGAAATCAGGTGAGGCCTGTGTCCAGCAGTAGGACGTGTATAGGCTGAACTTTACTTTTTTATGCGTTGTCACCTTTGAAGACTAAGATAGATATACCTTACAGCCTTTACATAATTATAGTAACTCTCTATACCCTTCAACAGTGTGAAGATTTGCTATTCGGCGGCAGAAAGATTCCTAAGTACAAAGAGAGACCTACCATCTAGTATATGCTATATATTCGTATATAGCATATAGTAGGTACATATAAGTTATTGAGATTTACGTCAAGAAATTCTCAGGAGCTGCTCGGAGTCAGGAAGTTGGCGGTGTTTCACCCCCGTACCTCGGAAAACACGTAAAGCCGTTGGTCCTGCGCCTAATCTCTATCCGGTCGTGTTGGTTTACCATCCCATTGGACTATAACAGCGAGGAAATAGAGAATGCACCTGTTGCTTGAGCACTTGAGCACTATAATCTTATCCTGCGCCGATGGCTAGTGTCCGGCTGGCCGCCATAACCAAAATTCGGTCTGGAGGACATTATACTAGGTACATGCATGGCGGAACTAAATTTCCTTAACAAGCCTTCAATACAAGGTGTTTATTGTAGAAGAGAGTCAACAGTGACGCCTAGAAAAACCTGTAGGATTTACCAATTCAAGTATTTGTTAGTTATCGCAATTAATAACTTGCCTTCATTTGATTAAAAAAAATTTGGGATATTTTGTTTTGTTGATATTAAAGAGCAAGTCCTCACTATGCATACGTTTTTACAACAAAGTCTCGGCTTGAGTCGCTTTTTCCAACTTTGAAGCTTTTTTGTAATAAAACTAGAATGTATTATAGGAACTAACATTTTGGCGGACAGAAAACCAATTGAAAAATGGCGGGAAAGTGTTTTTTACTTTTTATTTTTCTTTTTTTAATGTCCTATATGTATTGATATTAAAACCAGCCAGATACAAAGAGTACAACAGGAAGAATAGGACAACTGAGTGGATAAACTTCCGGAAGTAGTTGCGATGGCCGACAATCGATCTTATGGATATCATTTTCATTAATATCTTCTTTTTTTACTTATTATAAGCCAGTGCTAGATCATAATTCCAACTGGTGGTAAGTGGTGATGTGGCCTTAGATGGTAAATCGCACTGTTTTAGCATAACAAAAGCCTATTCACTTTTGCTTTGATGACGCCCAGATTGTATTCGGACAAAAAATAGACGCCAGCAAATTATTCCACTCCTATGCTGTACGCATTACAAAAGAAGAAGCAAACCGTTTGGTTCTAATGCGTGGTATATCGACAGCAAAAAAAAAAAAAGAAACAAAAAATCTTAAGTATAATACAAAAAGAAGTTTCTCTTTAAAACACCTCCACATCCTGAGTTGAACAGTCTCAAGAGCCGACCATTTGCTGACAGTCTAACGCGCTTCCGGTAATACAATTGTAAAGTACAAGGCATACCAATCGTTTTAATCAGTGTACAAAAGCCGAGTTTGCTCTGAAGATATTTTTAGATGCGCTAAAATTAGATACACCCACTCATTATGTCAACGGATAAGGCGGGGATACACATGCCAGAAAATCGGGAAAGTAGCTGGCATGAAAGTTACTGGCATGTACGAGTAACTGGCACGATGGGGAGATGAGAGAACTATACAGTTCATTCATTTGTACAGATACTACGAATGTCTTTGGAAGGCGACTAGCCCGTTTTACAAAAACAAAATAATATCCATTTACTCGTACATGCCAGTAACTTTCATGCCAGCTACTTTCCCGATTTACTGGCATGTGTATCCCCAGCCTAAATCGGGTATCCAGCGTTGCAACATTTAAAAAAAACTACTTTTTTATTAAGATTTTTTAGCTTGGCTGCTTGTCCTTTAAGCCATGTCTTCATTTATCTCAGTATCGAGTGACAATAATTCTTTATAGTACACTGATTTTAACGACAACTTCAGCCCTCAAATATTTGGCGATAGTATCTCAAGGCGCTCAAGCAGACAAACAACTTATCTTAAGATTTCACTGTTCCACTAATAGTTCACATGCGGAGACATTTAATACATAAAATCGCAACACCGTTACATATCAAAATCCACTTCGAAACATTATTTAAACAACAATACAGGAGCAGCAATCCGCTGCCGGTCAAGTTCCAGCCAAATAAATACTACTTTATCCATTCTTTTATTACGGGCTATCAAAAGACCACAGCTGAACATACAACTCCACCATAGATTTCTTCATAGAGGGAATTTGTCATAGTTAACAATCTTGACAGGCGGGTTGGCAACCGCAGATTTTTTTTTATTTTCGCTAATTATCATAAAGGAAGACATTCCATTTTAGTCCTCACGGGTGACAACGCATCTGCATTTTGATTTACAATCGAGGATAGATGTAGATGTCAATGGACCACAGCAACCACTTACCATCAGGTGGACTGTGTGCTCGTTTGTCACCCTTATTCTATAAAAAAAAACGCATCTTTGGTTTCAGATTCCCTATATCGGTATATAGTGGCGGCGTAAGAATATCCACATATCATCCCGTGGGTGTCGTAATTACTTCATGAGGCGGAAACACATTAACCTTTAGTGTGACTACATTTTTGAATGTAACAATAAATAAAAACCACTGTCGTAAACGCGATTGCTGTTAAGTGTGAAGTTATTGGGTTTTTCTGTCAAAAAATTCTCAGTACCAGTCCAGAATCAGGAAGTTGGCGGTGTTTCACCCCCGCGCCTCGGAAAGCACGAAAGGCCGTTGGTACTGCGCCAGATCTCTCTCAGGTCGTGTCGCAATACAGTCCCATTGGACTATGATAGTGAGGGAATAGTTTTTTTTTTAT